ATGATTCTTTGTGAGCCATACCACTGAACCTTTCCCTCTTTAGCCATGTACCTTCCAGCCAAAATCTGAAGTCTTATTCAATAAATGATTCTCCACCCAGTTACACCTTTTGAGATTGTTGGTTAGGTGGATTGGATTGGGTTCACCCAAGAGTAATCTGTATTGATGCTAAGGGTCTCATACAACTGATACAACCTACAGATAATGAGTTCTTAGATATGCATCTCTGTCCTACGGGTTGTTTTTTATTTATTTATTATTTTTAATTTTGAGATGATGTTTCACGGTGTTCCCAAGATACCTAGAACTCACTGTGTTACCTAGACTGGGCTGGAACTGTCAGCAACTCTCCCATCTCAACCTGATATGTGCTACATTATGAACTGACACATATGATGGTGGATAAGTTAGTTGCTGATCTCACTATCCAGGAAGGGCATTTATGCTGGGTACTGTGGTAAACTAATTCCCATTTTACCTTGTTTGAGCCTTGTTCTTGTGATACTGTCCAGATCTATGTGTTGCTAATGGATTCAGTTGCCAACTCTCAGTTACCTGGGCCATTAACCTGCAAGAGTATTGAAGAGCTGATAACTCCAGGTCAACTCTCCCCCCACCCCCAGCCCTGGCTCCTAAAGACTATGTTGTATGTAACAGACCTAGGGCCAAAGCTGAACACAAAGGAACTCCAGACGCTCTAGCCTCCTAAATACTTGGACCCTGGAGATTGTTTGACTGCAAAAGAAACTCCCCTGTATTCTCCAGGAAATTCAGTTCTGAAATAAGTACAATAGGCCACCGCAAGCCATAAAAACCACAGAATGTTCCTTTCCAGCACCAACCTATGAGAATAATGGGTACACACGTATTACACTCAAAAACATGACAATAAAAAATTTTTTTCAATTTTTTTATTTTATTTTATTTTATATAACAAAGTCCAATTAAACGAAAACAAACATTTATACACAATATTTGGGAATTTGGGCGTCATTCTTTCCAAACTACTTCCTGCTGGTAAGGGGCGCTGTCTTGGGAGGATTCGAAGAAGATTCAGATATCCTGGCTGTAGTCTGTAGGGCTGTTTTGTCCAGCTGTTTTGAATGTAGGATTAGCTTGTACTCTGTTTCAGGCGGTCTGGCGTGATCAAACCACATTAGTCTGGAAGGAATCCACATCTTTTCATTTTCTGTGGAAACAAAAATAGAAATCCTTTTCCCCAGTAACTTGTCCTTCAACTTAAATTTTGGAGTCAAAGCATCCCTGGTGCACAAAAGGACTTAGGAACATATCCCCCATGGAGGGATAACTGCCTTAATCTAGAGACAGGAGAGAAGCCCTAGTCCCTACTTCACAGGACCTGTCAGATCTACATGACCGCAACTGGATGGCATTCCCCTACATATGGAATTGGGGTGGGGGGATGGGAGGGGAGGGTGGTTAGAGTGCATGTGAGAGGGCAGAGAGGGTAAAAGGGAGGGAAGGAGGGAGGGAGGGCTGGGGAGAGGGAGGGAGGGAGAGAGGGAGAGGGAACTGGGATGGACATGTAAAATAATAAATTAAAAATTTCTTGATTATTCCCAAAATGTCAACCAATCAGGAGCCCACCTGCTCCCCTCCCCTCCTGCTGATGTAACCCTGAATTTTTCCTTTAAAAAAACATAGCAAGAAACCAAGAGGACACACCCTCTGGAGGCTGCTGCATCAGCTTGCTGGACAGGGTCCCTCCCTCGGAAGGATAGAGCAATCAATCAACCTTGTGCATTTGGATCAGTGGGTCTGTCTCCTTGTTGGGTTTATGATTCTCCTTTTTTCTTTACAATTTCAAAGTCAGACACTGAGAAAGTGTGTGGGCTACACCTGCTACTTAGAAAGCTCCGGGCTAATCTGAACCAAAGGAGATCATGTCTCAGAAAAACAGACTGTTAAATGAAGGCAAACAAAGGACATCAAAGATTTCTCAGAGGCTCTCAAGCAGAAGTTTTAGGCATTGAGAAGCTCAAGCAGGAAAATTAGTCTGCAGAGTGAGTTAAAGGCTAGTCTGTGCTACAGAATAAGACTCCATATCTAAAAGTGAGGAAAGTTTTGTGGTGTTGATCTTTGATGGCCATATACCACTGTCTGAGACAAGTTGATAAAAAGTATTCAGCAAGGCTGAACTATATACTCCCTTGAAGGCCATACTCAGAAAACCAAATTACATCAATAAAATAACGCCATAGCTGATTACTTACTTAAAATGACCTGGAGTCAAAACGCACTGCTTTCTGTTGTTTGAGGAGAGATATCACTACACACTTTGTACATAGAAATACCGAAACGAAAGTCTGCTCAATAAAAATGCTATGATGTTCCTCAGATGGTAGACTGCTTCTCTAGCACACATGAAGCCTTGATTGTATCTGAGAACTCCACATATGGGACACCAGGTGCAAACCTATAACCCTCCACTCCTGACAAGAAGATGGAGGACCAGAGACTGGTTTCCTAGCTGGGTTAGCCTGGTTCCAAAACTCCAAGAAATATAAACAAAGAGATATTCATCTTTGTTCATTTTGAAGCCAATGTCTATCCAGGGATTTCAACTGTGTAAATTTTTAAAATTGTATTACTTTGGCCTTTTTTAATTTTTGGTTCTTTTTTATTTTATTTAAATAACATTTTATCATTTATTTTGCATGTTAACTGTAAGGATGGAAAAATTTAGCCTAATTTTCCCTAGACTCTGCCCACTAGCAGTGAGTAGGCAAAAGGTCATTCTTGACTGTTTATGACAGGGTGGTTTAGTGAATGAGAACAGGAAATGAGCCGTGCCACACTACCCAGAAGCCCTAGCGAAAGCAGACTTCCTGGGCTAAGCGCGGGCTTGAATAGTTCAAATTGATTGGTCTGCACTGGATACTATGAGATGATTGGGTTGTGATGCGCAGGCTTTGTTGTAACCCTATAAAAGCTGTCTAAACCCTGTACCCAGGGTTCCCAGTCCTCTACCCCACGTGGAATATGGCTGTGGACCCCAGTGCACTGGAATATAAAAGACCTCATACTTTTGCATCAAGACCGCTTCCATGAGTGATTTGGGGGGGGGTCGCCTTTTCTGAGTCGGGACGTGAGGGTTCGAGCCCTCTGCGGGTCTTTCACAACCAATTTTCCCTTCTTCCTCTCCTCCCATAGCTCCCTTTCCCAACTAACCACTCTCCATCCACTCCTCGTCCATCTCCTTCAGAAAAGTTAAGTCCTTTCATGGGCTTGCCCTAAGCATGGCACATCAAGTTGAGGCAGGACCAAGATATTCTCCTTACCTCAAAAAGGACCAGGTAACCCAGCAGAGGGAACAGATGAACAAAAATCAGCTAAATGTCACAGAAAAGTCCAGCTCTCATGTTACAAGCTTTACTAAGAGACCAAGCTACACACATGCAGAAGGCTGAGGGATATCACATGCAGGTTCCAATTCTTTTGGTCCAGTATCCATGATCTCCCAAGATCTCAGGTCAACTGTCTATGTGTGTAACCCATAGGCAGGACTCCGTGCCTCATAGAAGAACTCCTCCCTTTTTTCTGCAAAATACTCAGAGCTCAGCACAGTGCTTGTCTGTCTATCATTGTATCTGCTTCCATCAGTTAAGGGACAAGCTATCTCTCACCCACACTTGAAAGTATCCTCTGCATCCTATTACAATCAAAGCTCACATGCCAGGGAAATGCTCTATCAAATGTGTTGCATCCCCACTATCCCTGTCATGAGTGGAATAACCTCACACCATCCTCTTGCCTCAGTCTTCTGAAATATGGCATATCAGTTGCCTGTGCCAGGAAACAGCATAGCTCCTAAATTGCTGTACAGGCTCAAGACAGAGATCAGGCCACACCACATAGATCCATTAACAATGATCTTCTGATATTTGTGTTTCAGATGTTTCAAGGGCAACATTCTTCTACATCCCTGAGCCAATTCACTCTCAGAACTCTATTATCTACATATGAGTAATACTCAGACATATATGGCATCTCATAATGTAGCACATACCAGGTTGAGGCAGAAGAGTTGCTGACAGTTCCAACCCAGTCTGGGTAACACAGTGAGTTCCAGTAAACTTAGGCACACTGTGAAAAATCATCTCAAAGATTTAAAAACCTAAGAACAGAGATGCATAACTAAGAAACTCATTGTCTGTAGGTTGGATCAGTTGCATGATACCCTGATCATCAATACAGATTATTCCTGGGTGAATCTATTCCAATTCATATAAACAACAATCCAAAACAAGTGTAATTGGGTAGAGAATCTTTTATTAAATAAAACTGCATATTTTGGCTAGAAGGTTTATGGCTAGAGGAGGGGTTCAGTGGGAAGGTTTACAAAGAATCATCATAGAGAAATAAACTTCACAGTCTTAGAGCCTAGAGGCAAGGTCTATTCTTTCTGTGATTCTGACACCTCAAATCAGTATCCTGGACAGATAAATACTTCAGCTCTATTAAGACATGTCATCTCAAGTAGCTTAGTTTAACATTGTCTTCATCTCAGATTATATATATTCAGTGACTTTATCCCAATATTATCAGGGGATACTCCAAATTCAGAACATGGCTTCTCTGGATTCTTCTGCTTAGTCCTGCAGTCAGTTCTGCTTACACCAAAGTCCTCTATATTGAATCATATGTGACTCTACTCATCACTGTCTTCTGAGATGGATGATACAACAAAGACTTCATAAAAGACATTTCTTGTGGTACTGGGATCAAATATCTTAGGGTTCTTTAAAACAAGGCAACTCTGAGATACAGACTTAATCTTTTCACAAGAATTAGTCACAGGAGTCAATGAGATCCTAAAGCATGGTTGTTGTTTTTCTATTTCCAAATGTGTTGCATCCCCATTATCCTGCATGAATGTGTGCACCAGGAGACTGTTGTGTTCTTGATAGTTCTTGGATAAAAAGAGCCATCCAGAAGCTGTATTTGGACACTGGCCTTCAATGCTGGTTTCTTTGGTTTCATCTTGGGTGCCTACTGGATTGACATGCATTTGTACTGAGAGATGGCTGAGAAATCTGGACATCCTCCAACTCAGATACTAGAGTTCTCATGGTGGGATTCAGACAGGAGCTGATTCGACGTTTCTTTGGGTGATGCTGACTCTCCCTGCTGGTGATTTGGAGAGGTTTCTTTCCAGGAGCCTGGATTCTGCCTTCAGAGTCCTGTCCATACTTTGGTCTCATAGATTGTACACAGGAAGTTGAAGGTGTACCATGATGTTTCTTATTTGTCTGGAGTTTAATGTCATGCACTGAAACAGCTGTCTTCACATCAGGTTCAAGAGCACATTTGGGAGAAACAACAGCCCCACGGGATGTCAACATGGAGCTGGGGGAAGAATCCTGGCGGTCCCCACAATTGGACTTCAGGGTATCTGAGAATCCCATATCATGTGCTGGTACTAATCCATAAGTGTTTTCCTGTCCTTTTTTGTAAGAACATGAGGATGTGGTTGCTCTCACATTGGGTGTCTTGCATAGTGGGAGACCATTGGAGACAGGACCCAATGAAGTTTTCTTCTTGGTCATGCAAATAAGTGATGGCCTGGTAGGTTTCTGTTAAGAAAAAAAATCTCAGTTAAATTACCATCCTGTGTGACGAGCTCTCTAATTAAAATTATCCACATAGAAATTATGTGAAGCAAATATGTAGGCTAAACAAATGCATGGAAAAGTAGGACCGTTGAGAACTAAAGAGAAGACCAGTGGAGAGTAAGGTGGTGGAACATATTTATATAGGCTATAGGTTGTACAAGGAAATGTGTAATAGTGATGAGCAAGACAGTGTCATAACAAAGCCCAATATTGTGCAGTGAGTGATAGAGAACTAAACATAATGAACAGGGCTAGATGAAGGGATATGGGAGAACAATGAACAGAACAATAAACACATTAGGATTCTTCCTAATTCAGATAAACAGAAGCCATGCCAACCAAAGGAGATAGGACACTGAACTTAATCTGTGTATGTGTGAGGGGGATTAAACCCTTTAAATACCCAAAGTATGTCTACAGTCATTTGTACAGTAGAATATGTGGGAAAAAAAAACATTTGAACCTAGGACTTAGATATCTAAGTGAATAAGAATGATTGTTGCTTTTCAGTTCCTGGGACCTACCTAGAAAGTCACAACTGTCTGTAAGTTCGGTGTTTGAAATTTTTGAAATCTGATATATTGTTTTGATCTCCTATGCCACTAGATATATGCACACACAAGTCATAAACACAACAGGCAAGACACTCATTCACACTAAATAAAATGAACCAAAAAATAAAAACACAACTTGACATAAGAATGAGATTTTTAAGCCTAGGAGATGTCACTCTGAGACTATCAATTAAGAAGGGGATGTCAAAAAATTCATTTTGTCTATGTGTATAACATAGACAAAATGAACAAAGCACTTTCTCATGGTTGTGATAAGTCTGGATGACAAGCTTCCTTTCATGGGCAGACAGGCAGACTCTGGAAAAGCATGGAAGACACCAGACTGGTGCAATATCACTCAGCATGAGAGGAAGCATTTCCCACATACACATACATCCTCCATATTTGTTGGCCCAGGCTCAAGATAAAGGAGCATATTCAAATGAAGATACAGAAAGCCATATGTGGTGCTGCAAATCAGTGATCCCAGAACATGTAACAGTAAAGAAAAGTCATGTCAGGTTCCAGACAATGCTAAGCTACATATCCAAAATCCACAAAATGAAAACATATTAGACATGTCTTTATACACCTGAAATCCTAGTATCTGGGAAGCCAGGCAATGAGAATGTGGAGATGCCGAAGAACATGATCATGGTCAGCACAGGCTGAATAAGTGTCTGTTCCAAAGAAGCAAAAGAGAATGAAATGAGAGAAGAAACAATGGGAAGTGAAGAGGAATAGGGAGCTAAGAATGCTACCATAGGATACAGAGAGGGAGAGGGAACAGGAAAAGTGGAGGGCATGAGAATAGGAAAAGAAATGTAAGGGGGAATAAGAGAGGGGAGGGTAACTAAAGGGCAAGAAACAGCAGGTGAAGAATTGAAGAAAATGGAAAGGTCAATCAAGCAGAAGCTGGTAGAGAAGTGCAATAAGCTTGCCTGGCTTTCCTTACAATACCAACACCAGGTATATAGCAGAGCAGCAGAAATTGGATCCAAGAAAAACACAACAAGCAAGTAAGGAAGACTCACCCTCAAAAAGAAACAAGATTCTGGTTCTTCCAAACTGTTCCTCTTCTTCTCTGTAGAGTGTGTGGGAAATTTCTGTGGCAGAATTTTCCTTGGAAGCAATTCTTGCCTGCAGTGCAGCACATAGTATTAAATGTTAGGATCAGAAGAATTTCTGCATGTGAAGAACTAAAAGCGATCTCTATCTTGAAAGTTAATGCTGGCATTGTTTGGAGTGAGGAGGTATTAAAGCCATAGTGAGATTTGATTAACTGAGCTAGGATCATCTTTTACCTCAGAATCTGGAAACACACCTGAAATTTTCCACGCCCAGGGATTAGATTTGCATATGTCTTTATAGTAAATACATAGTATCCTGTAATTCAGGCTAACCTCTAAAACAGAAGACAACTGAGGGAGACCATGAAATTCATATCCACTGTTGCCAGTCTACCCTCTGCTGGATTTCCAGGTATGCACAAGCATATTGATATAGTTGTGATGGAACCAAAACAAGTGTACATGTATGTTATAATACACAAGCCCCTGATCAAGACCATAGCCCAGCACTGCATTCTTTCCTTTGATGCTACTTCTGTTCTGTCAACAGTGGGCAACATTCCTAGCAATATCCCTCCCTGCTTTTTAATGATCTCAACACTACATGAGCTGAGTGCACTATTCTCTGATTGTTGAATCTGATGGTTTTTTTGGGGGGGGAGGGAGCTGTGTCCTGACATGTCTGTATTCAATGAACAAACATCCAATACCATCTACCATGCACGTGAATAATTATGGATGTGTCCCATGCTCACATTTGTCTTTCTTTCTCCTCTTTATCAGTCTTTTTAAATATTCCTGGAGTCTGGAGCTGCTCGGCCGTCATTGTTTCCGTTTTCTCTTTCTTCTTGTTTGACCCCAGAGGCTGGACAGGAAGGGCTTCAGCCCAGCGTTTCATGGGGCACATTTTGCTCCTTGCCGTATGTCCAAAGGCTCCACAGTTCTTGCATGTCACCTGTGTTGACAGAGAAGTGAACACATACTTAGTTACAATTTCACATAAGTATCAAAGTTCCACAAAATTCTTTTAGGTGAGATTCAACCTTGCTTGTAGGATGTAGCCTCAAACAATACTCCATTATCTGCCAAGTAAGACAGGATTCTACAATCATTCATAGGGTGCATTTTATAGAGCATTGCAGAGATAAATAAATTTGTGTCAAAAGGATTACAGTGGGTATCATGTTGTGACTCCCAACTTTGAACTAGCACTCAGGAAGATTCCGGTAGAGGAACATGGGTTTAAGAAAAACCTTGTCTATGCAGATAGATCCAGGTCAGCCTATGAAAATTATTTACATGGGATCTAAATACAAAAAGTAAAATGAATGTTGGAGATACAGCTCAAGATAAGGATATTTGGATATAATTCACCAATATGGAAAATGGCTCTGTGCTAAGAAAAATCCAGGAATATCAGGCTGCTCATGGTATTGAGTGTATACAAGGGAGCTCCTTAGATGCCCTCAACTTGAGAGAAAACTGCTCAAATTAGATTAGCTTCTATTAGAGAATATGAGATACAGACACCTAGCAACATGGTTAAATCCACTTTCTAAAATACATATAGAGCAAAAATTCTCAAAAGTTCAAGTGCATTGACCTTGGTTTCTTCCTCCTCTTCTCTGGGAGTCTTTGGTCTCACTGTTCCAAAGCATTTTTTCTTCTGAGTTTTGTCTCCAGGTGGTCTCTCAGCAGGGGGTTGTATGTGATGATCAGTCATCTGCTTTTTGACATTTGGTTTCTTGTCAAAATTTTTCTTTAATTGATTATTGTACTTCCTAGTTATGGAATAAAGAAAGAGAAGTTATATTGATAAGTATCTTTGCTTTCTACTTTAAGATGCAGAAATGAGAAGGATTTGCTGACCAGAGTCACACACATCGTACCCTAGAACACTCAGAGTTTACATGCCTATTTCCAGAATGTCACACTCAAAGAACAGTTAACCTCCAGAGAAAATACTGTCAGGCTTAATAGGGCCGAAATAAGATGTGTAGGACTGCATAAAATACAGTGGGTTCTGAAATTTTCCAAGATATTCCCACCAATTTTCTCTTTTAAAAAATTTTTTTGTTGCTTCCTACTCTTTCCAATTCGTTTTTTACTTTAGTTTTAAGATGTTATATTTTGATTTAGTTTTCCATGTTTTGAATTCTGCTATGACCATGCACCCTGTTTGTACCTGCTGCCTACAAGGACCAGAAGAATGTGTCTGACCCCCTGAGAGAGGAATGAGATGTATTTTTTGAGGGTCTTTATGAATACAATAAAGGGAACCCAAGCATTCTGCAAGAGCTGTCTATGCTTCTAGACACATAAACATCTTTCTAAACCCTATTAATTTTTGAAAACTAAATTTCAGTTAATGACAACTAGGTTCTAATTTAGGTTTCAGACAAGATTTACCTAAATCCGTTTCCTTTTCAACCATATTTACTAGCAATAAAAGCATACACCACCATACCAATTCCTAAGAAGATGTTGCTTAGATTATTTTTCAAAGAAATAAATTTACAAGAAAAGCAAATTATTTTTTCATCATATTTGAGAAAAAATATTTTCTGTTTACTTTTTATATACAATTTCATCTATAAGCTTCAAATGAGAATTGTAAAACTCTGATATGTAGCTGATAGTTACACTTCACTAACAGAAATTCATAATTTTGTATCTATTTTCATTTGAACTTTTTCTCAAACTCACACCTGAACAGACAAGCTGAGGATGACTATGCAAGCTGATGTACTGTGAAATTTCATATCAAGCAATTAACAAATAACTTTCCATATGAACATATGCTAGATGACACAGATAGGTAATCGATATTTAGGAAGCTTATGACAATGTAATTTCAACTTCAGGGCCTTTCTCTGTGGTAGTGTTCTACATAGCAAAAATCAGCATCAAAATTAAACAAAAAGAATTTTGTCTTGTGTCCTGGTGTAGCTGAAGCTTGAAGTAATTCCTGACGCAAAATGTTCAAGTTTAGTCGACAATTTAAGAAAACAAAATCACTCATCAATGAAAAGTCCTCAGGTAAGCCAAGGTTAAAAAATGTGGTTCACAGCTACATGCCATAGGCAGCTGTTTTCCCGATGTGCCCACCCAATGTAGGTCAGTTCCTACCTCTTTTCTTGGTCTTCAAGATTTTGTGGGACTGGATTTGGTCTGGGCACCGAAGTCTGACTGTTTTTATTAGAAACACAGCGGGCTGTGGGGTCCTCCCCTGGCAGCAGAGGGAATCGAAGCAAAACCTCCACAGAGGCAACAACTACCCATTTCTCCGTCATCAAGTCGATCTGGGGACAAGAAAGAGAAAATTAGTTGGTGTTCCATAGTGGGGGAAGAAGCCTTTCATGGAGGAGATAGATAGTTGTCCAGTTCCTTCTATCTTTCAGGATTGTCAGTCTAAAATCCTTCTCACCACAGCAAACCAGAACTTTAGAAGTGCATTTCAAATAATGAGAAGTTAAAAAGGAGATTCTGGGGGTAATGGAAATGGTCCCTTGGGGAAACGATCACTGTTGTAGGTGCTGTGCCTGCTGTATTCCCTGGATTGGTAGCTCTGTCCAGGTGCTTTGTTCCTGAGAATACAGTTTGTACACACTCAGGGCATGGAATATGATGCTGCTTCAAGGGAACTGTACATCCTACTCCACCTCACTCCATGTACTTCTTTTTACCCAACCACACCCATACTTACATCTCTTTGTGGGATCCCACACTGTTTTAGGAACTGCTTGCCCTCTTCCATTGAAAGTTTGTTCGGATCCATCTCTGTTGGACCCTTCCAGGAACTCGGCTTCCCTCTAGAGTTTAGAAAAAAATCACACAGTGCTTCTTACTAAAATCTCCCCAGTGATAAATATTCAACTATCTCCATTTAGTAACTCATCTCCTCATTCTTCCACTAAAACTGTCTATATGTCCTAAATGGCACTAATGGGGGTGAGGAATAGGAAGACAAAAAAACCAAGAGATTCTTCACTAGCTGCTCCACTGTTAGCAACTCGAAATGCGTACAGATTAATCAAGGGCCCTCAAATTTTATGGTATTAGACTCAGGGAAAGCTACTCCTATTATGAGTTTCAAAGGAATTCAATATGTACAGAGTCCTCCAACTTCTGAGATTCAACCTATGATTGTTCATCTAAATGCCTAAGTCAAAACAATAATAATATAGAAAAATTTTAGAGTTTAGAATCTGCATTTTTTTTAGATTCAAACAAGCCTGCACATCATAGTATCAGCTATTTGAGTGCTTGGAGTTCAGTGGGTGTTGCTATTTGAAGCGGTGTTGAGGATTTTGTCCTAAGACATCTCCTGAAAATTTCTGTGAGAATCCATTTATTCCTACAGGAATTTACCAAGGTGTCTTTCTTGATTATAGTTGTTTAGTTATGTGCCCTAACAGCAAGACCACTGTGAAACGCAGGGCTCCTTTGCTACTGAGTGAAGAGGCAGCCTCAGACTGACACCTGGATTTATACTCCTTCTCTGCCCAAGTCCTTGTAATGATTTAACATAATGTAATCATGTGTGACTGAATTATCTTGCTCCACCCTGATCTGAACAAACAAATACTTTTTTCCTTTTCCACCGATTATTTTTATAGCAAGTAGGTATTTCTGAATCACATACTAATTGGTATTTGCATTCCAAAAGTTTCAAATTGTTCAACATGTAATATAAACAATCAGTGATATAAAAGTAGTTCTTCAATTAAAATGGATTTTCCTTCCCTTAGCTAATCTAAGGAGTTTGCCAAATTCAAGGTCATTTAAAGCTATAAAGCAAACATGAAGCCATCCTGTTGGACATGGGATGCTGTCAAAAAAATCACTGATTCAATCATATCCCTCATGATTTTAATTTATACTCAACTGAATTATGAATTCTTTTTACATTTTTGGACATGGTTTCTCTGTGCAACAGTCCTGCCTATCCTGGACTTAACCAGGCTTGCTTGGAACTTACAGAGAAACACCTGCCTCTCAAGTGCTGGAATGAGAGCCATGAGACATTAATGCCCTGTGATAGAAATTTTTTTGTAAAAAATATATTTTGAGCTTCTTTTATTCGGAATGTTTTACCTAGATTTTTATGATATGTAATGGGTGTGTGCACTTCCAATAAATGCCAGAAAAAAAAATCTTCAAATATTCCTGGCCTGGGATTCCTATGAATCTAACTGGGTCTTCTAGGACATTATTCAGCACAGTTAATGACTGAGCTACTCCTCTAGCCCCCTCTTTTGTTTTTTCATCTAATTTCCTCTGTCCTCTCAACATCAACCAAAATTTGCTCCTTATCATTATGACAGTTATTTTCATCCAGCAGAAACTACCAGAATTAAAGCTCATGATTGCCTTGGAGACCAATCAGAAGGACATGTCTGATTTGTGAATATCTTCTTTTAAGTACCACATAACAAGCATGATACCAACCCAAGAACAACACTAAAATATCTCCCATATGCTGTATATCTTAATGAGTGTTTGTAAATAGTATGGGATCAAGAAAACAGAGATTGCCAGAATTTCTCCAAACCTAAGCATCTGTGGGTATATATGTAACACAAATGATAAAAACACAGAGCAGATATTGTAGTTAAAGGTGAAAAGCAGAGAAGAAAAACGGCAAGCCACATGACAATTCTCACCTCTACCAATGCTCAGACCGAAGGGGCGATCCACCAAAGCTTTACTGCTCCCAACTGCACTGCTCCTCAAACTGACTCACACTGCACTGAGCTCCAGTCTCCTCCTGCCTTATATTCTGGTCTAGTGGTGGGATTAAAGGTGGGAGGTTCCGAATGTTGAGATTACCTTTGTGTGAGGTCTGTTTCTTTTACAGTGGGTCAATTTGTGTAAATCCAGGTGGCCTTACATGATTAGAAATATATCTCCCAAGAGGAAAATTCCTTCAAATCTCCACTTTCCCAATATGCTAAAGTGACCAAAGTTCTTTACTTTTGTATTTTCAAGACCTCTCACTATAGGTCTGGGCTTGTTCCATTTGGTCTTTTGATTTTACTCATTAATAGAATATGTACATATATATTTTTATCCTTGGATCATGTCACATAAGGGAAGGCTTTCTGGACTTCAGGCATGTGTTTCACATATTTCATGAATAATTTTTAATATGTGTAGGAAATGTACCAAAGGTTTTTTTAAAACAGGATGACATTTATCTAGATATGAAGAAACAAAGAAAGAAATAAACAGCTTTGAAGACCTTCACCTTCAAAACTGAATTTATAATGGGAAGGAAACTAACTCAGAAAGCAAGAAATCTACATGTCTGTTTATTGAGACCAAATAATTTCTGTACATGCTGACCTCAAATGCATTGCAATCTTGCTGACTCATACTTCCCAAGGATTGGTAAAGGCAGGTGTTGGTCCTGACTCCTAAAAAGTCCTGACTTAAAAAAGCAATCAAATATAAAATATCCTTGACTATCCACCATGAAATTTTCATAATGTAAGAAAGAATCCTTTAGGTCATATTGATGTCTTATTTCTCTTTTAGGTTAGGGTATCAATAAAATATAAAATAAAAAATAAAGGGCATAGAGTTCTACATTTGGAAATATAGTATTAGGGGTGTTAGTTCTCTGAATTCCTTTTATCTTGCCTTTGGGATACTTTTGGGCCACCAAGGCTGACTGGTTATCAATCCATTATGCCAAGTTATTCTCATCTTACATTGCTACTACTATTTTAACCTTGAATCCAATCATGGATTCCTCTTGGTCACTTTTATAAGTAGTTAGAAAATAAGTGGAAATACTCTTAGGAAAAGAAACTTTGGGCCTGTGATGCCTTAGGATGAGGGATTTATGCAAATGGACATGGATTTTACTATTTGCTTTTAACTACAATGTATTACACACTTCTATGTGTATGCTACATATAATTGGTATGCATGTGCATTTCATAGTGAATTCATTGCTTAAATATTTTCTGTGGTGATATATTCCTTATGATTTATTAAATCCTGTCTGAGGAATCAGAAAGCAAGTTATGCAACAAGCCACAGAAGCCAGATACAAACCTTTAATCCAAGTAGCCTAAAGCTGCTTTACAAACCTTTAATCCTAGGACTCTGGGTTAAGAGGTAGACTCTCTGAGTTCAAGGCCACATGGGGGATACACAAAATTGAATCAATCTAAAAGGGTAACAGATCTCATGCTTTTAATCCCAGCAGTGGAGAGAGATAAAAATTAGTATTCTTTAAGGGTATTCATTCACCATCACTTGGAGAATAGGAACTCACCAGCCAGCCCTGTTACACATAACAGCTGTCTGGCAGTTTAGCTACTTTTCTTCCAGATCTTCAACTTAGATCCCAATATCTGTATCTTGGTCTTTAATTAATTCTTGTTACATTTTCAGTGTGAAGCCTGAGGACTTGACCTCACTCAGGCAATCTGGCTGAAGAAAGGAACACTTGCAAAGAGCCACACCCTATTGCTCTTCCTGGATTGCTCTAAAATGTTACTATCTTCTAGTAAATTGAAACACCAAGTAAAGAAGAATCAAGTATAGAAAGGCATTCAGCTACTTTACTGAGATAATATCATCTGGAACACAATTAACACTCTGTGCCTTCTGAACAATCCAAGAAGTCATTTTGATCCCTGCCTATAAGAACAGTGATAGACTGAAACTTTCTACTTGAAGCAGGAATTCATAGGTAATAGCTTAGGTGGTGATCCATTTGATTTTGAGTTATGCACACTCCCATCTTGTGAAAATGCTTTTGACTTCAACACACCTTAACATATGCATCATACTCAAAACAATGCATCTTGCCATCCCAAACACACATGGCCATTCATGGGACATGTTTCCGTTTCTGATCAATAGTTTATATTCATTTCTCTGTCAGGAATGATAACAATTCTAAGCAGTTTCTGTTCAAGTATACTACCTTTGCTTTATGCTTTCTTTATTTTCAGTCATAATTGATGGAACCTCACAGCATCAACCCTGAATAATCTGGAATGTAATTCCCTGTGAAACTGAAACCACTTTCTTAGAAGAACAGACCTGTATTTTCTCATTGGATTGAAAATTCATTGCACACACTTCATTGAATAGACACCCAAGAAAGATGCATTGTAGGGCTGGCTGGAGGGGCAGAACAGCAACATTCCAACATGTAGTAATTCAGAAGTGTTCTGGAGCTTCAGGCCCATTGATGAAAAGGCTGTGTTTTATCTCAACACTTAAAGCCACAGGATTTCCCTGACTTTTAACCTGGGAACCAGCTAAACAGATCAGCCACAGGTGAGGACTATTATCAGATCCCAATCAGGTGTGCACTATTTAAATTTTCCTTTACAACTGCCATTCTGGAGACACACTAAGTAATCAGCCCTTTGAAGAGCAACATTGACAAATTTTCAAATATCTCTCACCTCAGGCATATAAAAATGCACAAAATGTGTTCTGACTTCAGAAAGTTCCTGTCCCCTCATCCCAGTCTTTCCCAGGTGAACATCAGTTCTTGAGATCTGAGCACACTGCATACCACTTCCACCCAGTACACTGAACATTATGTGAAGCCATATGCTCTGTGTCCCATTGATTAGAGACAAGTCCCTAGCCTGCCATGACAGTCATTCCCTGGGACATAATTTGCCCTGAAAGTTAACAAAGATTCATTTCCATTTTTATTTTACATTTTCTGGAGTTTTCGAGCCAGGATTTCATATACCCTATCAAGGAGGGTGGGGTGACCTGGATCCTCACCACCTGTCT